ATCCATTTTTCTTAACTTTTACTGATTTGTTTTGGTTTCTGTTTGCCTCTTTGGTAGTTTCTCATTCTTAAGTGGGCAATAGAGGCTTTGTTGCATGATCGTGTGTAGCTAGCAGAGAAATGAGTGAGCTTAAGAGGCCTGCCTCAGGTATGCTAGTACCATACGTGTAATTGGTGGTAATAATCTGTCAGTCTAACGACAGATTTGGTCAATTTCCAATGTAAGAATCAATTTTTGGCAGCAATCTTCTTTTTGTAAAGAGTCTGATTGATCGCGGCCCCTGAATTATTCAGGAGCATCTCAAATTGAACAAATCAGGTTAATAGAGATGGAGTGTTTTACTAAGAACTTTTTCTGGGACTTTCCCTGTAGGCAAAAGGAGATTAAAAGATCTTTTGAGTCAAAAGGATAATCGCTTTTGTGCAGATTGTGGTGCTCCAGATCCAAAATGGGCGTAAGTTTTACTACCATGACATGTTCATTTTCTTGCTGTGCATGTCATTTAAAATGCAACTCTCTTTTGCACCTTTAAGTTGAATGCAATTGGTTCTATATGCCTCTGAGCTAAAAAGTACATATTCCCTTGGTCATATTTTGTGGGGAACTGGGGAAGTAATTATGCTTTAGACCATGAAACTGGGGCAATAAGATTGAACTGGGGCTTTTAGTGCTTTTATTGTTCCAAGCTAGAGAATGGGGAAAATATTATCCTTGCAAAATTGATTTTATATTTGATATTCATCCACACTGACACATTACATTTCATGTGCTAAAGTATAAGCAGTAATGCCCCTAAGGGGATGGCTCAATTTGTTAAGAGCTTGAGACTTAGACTCCAACTTGGAGGTCTTTGGTTCAAACTTGAAGTTGGGTGGGAAAAGGATTTGGGAAAAGGGGAAGGCTATTGCCTTTTGTATGACTCATCATCAAATGTACCAAAAAAAGAATATAAGCAGTTATGGAATTTGAAGCCTGGAACATTGTTCAAAGTGGTTTTGATATCATGTCAAGAATTAACAATTTAAAAGTTTAAGCTGATGCATGAGGGCCTCAGATTTGATTTTATATATTTCAGTCTTTGCATTTTATATGATAGGTTTGTTTATTTCTGTTATTTATTGCACATCAACTGTAATGGGAAGTGTTAAGCTGTGGTGTTATACTTCTTCTTCTTCTGCTTCTTCCTCTTTTTTTTGAGTTTGTTGCAAGTGGTATTTTGAGGAGAAACTAGTTTCAAATATAAGGCTACTACAAACTTAAAGTAAACTAAGTTGGATAACATCACTACTAGCACTTCCAGATGCGCATTCAGTAAAATAACTGAAACATATGGATAGATTTGTGGTTCATAAAGGAATTAAGCATTCAAAACTTATTCTTGATTAACCCTGGATTTCCAATTTATTTCAAGCTGACTTGATGTATAAGTGAACAATTAGTGTTATCATGTAAGTGTGTGCAATATTTCATAAATATTTTTGCATCAATCAATAACTTTGATCTTTGATTCATATTCCTTTTCTTGGTTGCTCTTTTCTCTCAATGCAAGGCATTTCAATTAACACTTTTATAGATAAGTTTGCTGTAATGTCTAAGGTTTCAAGATCAATGATCATAGAAATTTTTATTTGCAATAATATTAAATTTGTACATCTGAACATACATAAGAAAGAAGGAATCCAAAATCTTAGTTGACAATTTCATTTTCAGGTCGGCCAATATTGGAGTTTTTTTATGTTTAAAATGTTGTGGTGTGCACAGAAGCCTTGGCACACACATCTCGAAGGTAACTGATCTAGACTACATCTAGTTTTATTGTTTTTCCTACGGAAAATATATCCACCTCATGTTGGCAAAAGTTACCCTTTACATGTAATCTTTATATTTGCAATTTACTCATAAAGTTATTGGATGGAATCATGGCAATAGATTATAGAACTTATCATAGCTGACTTATTTCTGATCTTGGGATTGAGTTTTCTTGTTTCTTAATAAGAGTCAGAAAGAAAATTTTGATGTAATTAAACAAATCAACAGAACCACATCAATCCAGCTATTGTAAGCATGTACCATGTAACTTGAATATGAGAATGTCAGCATAGCTATAAACAATATATGACTGATAAATGTAAATGTTTCATGAGGGAAATGAGAAATATTGATCGGTAGGTAAAATACCACTTAATCTCATTGCTTCTATTTAGGATGATTTCCAATTGATACAGAATGATAGACCTTTTTGGTTGGTTGAATACTTTCATTCCCTATGTTGGGTTTCTTCTATTTAGATTTTCTTTTCTTGTTTCTTTTTCTTTGTTGCTGAGCAACAGTATTTTTTCTTGGATCCAGGTTTTATCTGTGACATTGGATGACTGGTCTGATGAAGAAATTGATGCCATGGTTGAAGTAGGAGGGAATTCTGCTGCTAATGCAATATATGAGGCCTTTATACCTGAAGGTTATATGAAGCCTGGACCAGATTCTGGTCATGATGAACGCAGGAGATTCATCAGGTTAGAAGAACTTGTTTTGAGCCATCCATCTCTTGTGACTTTCTTGGGATATTACTATTATGTTTCTTCACTGGCCACTTTAATCGAGGCTATGATTTTTAATTGGAACCTGTAGGCAGGATTTTTATTGAGAGATAGTGTTCACAATACAATGTCCTTATTCTCAAGCAGCCCATAACATTGTTTCTTTGTAAAGCATTCTGTTTGACAGATAATTTGGTCCATTTCAAGTTTCAATCATGCTGTTTTTTTTCCTTTTTTTTTTTTTTTTGCAACAAACAGCAGTTCAACTGATGAGCCTTTGCTTGAGTGTTCATATTACTGGTTACTCAGCAATTTCAAAACTTTCTGTAGGTCCAAGTACGAGCAACAAGAATTTTTAAAACCTAGCTTGCGGATCTCATCAGGGAAGAGTTCAAAAGCTTCTCTTACAACAAGTATTTCAAGAAAGATTATGGATAGTTTTCGAACCAATTCATCACAGAAATCGGTAAGCTTCTGTTACTATTTGGTTCATGTTTTGGATATGTTATTTGTTCACATTTGCTTATATGGAATAAATTCTACATTAGAACCTGGTTATGTTTGCCTATTTTGCTACTTTTGACTGTGTTCTTTATTTGCAAATCAATGCTAGTCTCACTTAAAACAACTCAAGTGGGTTTCACCAGTTATATTGAAGTACTGAGAAAATTTTGAATCCTGATTGATGTTGAAATTGGCAACAGGAAGGCATGGTAGAATTCATTGGGTTATTGAAGATAAAAGTGTTAAAGGGGACAAATTTAGCCATCCGAGATATGATGTCAAGTGATCCCTATGTTGTCCTAACTCTTGGACAGCAGGTTAGTTGCTCTTTTTTTTCTTTTTTGACTTTTATTCCAAGAACTAAAGGTCAAAGGATTAGGAAGGTTGTTTATAGTTTTATAATATTTGAAAAGTGTAAACTTCACTTTCGCACTTTGTTGTTTTGACTATGTTAACTTATCAGGATGTGGTTTACTCTACTTTCTTTAGGTGCATGATGCCATTAGAAAATTATTGCAAAATGTCCCCCCCATTTGTTAACTGGGAAAACCCCTTTGTACGACTGTGAATTTTAAATGAAAAGCCCATTAAGCTGTCCTGTTTTTGGTCAATTAAAGTCATCATTCTTTTTAACTTTGACAAAAGACTTCATATTCCAGATTTTACATAGAGCACCAATGCTTCTAGTTTTTGAAGAACCAGAATGGGAGATTCCAGTGCTCCAAGTTTTGGAATTACCCTGCAACTCCCAGTGTTGGAAGTATTAGTGATTGGTGCTCCTAAAATGGGGAGCTCCAGACTGGGAGCAGTTTTGCTGGTGCTCCAAGTTCTGAGAGCACCATCACCAGTGTTCCCAAATCTTGGAGCATTGGGGATGTTGGGATGGTACTCCTTTAGTGCATCATTGCTTCTTTTAGTTCCATTCAGTTGAATGGATGCTGGTTCCATATATCTTCATTTTGTTTGGTATACTATATATAGACTGTCTGGATGTATATAATATTCTTAATTCTGAGATCATCCTTTAGTTACTATGAAAAAAAGGGAAGAAAATTCCTTATTGCATTATATGGTGTATTCATCGAAATTGGTCTTTGATCTTATCAGACTGCTCGCACAGCTGTAGTAAAGAGCAATTTGAATCCTGTTTGGAATGAGGAACTCATGCTGTCAGTTCCTCAGAACTTTGGGCCTGTGAAGTTGGTATGTATGTTTCCCTGTTTTATCGAAAGTAGCTTTGTATCTTACTGTTCATGCTGAAGTATTTCTAGTAACACCTCCATCCTCTAGCTTGTGACTTCCAGTTCTGCTTATGTTTTATATCTATATATAATAACATGATATTCATGTTCCAGATGTTTTTTTGCCCTTTGTTTTACATCTAGAAAATCTTTTTTTTAGCACAAGGCTTGTGTTACACATGGTGCCAAGCCTTTATTTTTTGGTTGTACATCTCAGTCAGTGGATGTTAATTGTCAGAAGTTGTGTTGGATGAGGAGGTGGTTTGTAATTTCATCTCAAGAATTCAAGTAATAAATCTCAGTACAGAATAATGGGTAATGAACGTGGAAGTTCAGAAATTAAACATGGTCTAGAATACCGCAGAGACCTTTCCCATTGTAGCGATTGAAAATGGATGGAACCAATGCCGGTTGAAGTAGAGACTAATGGGTAATGAACATGAAAGGTTAAACATCAGCTAGCATAATGCAGATCTGTTTTCTTTGTAGATCCATTAAAAAAAGAAGGGAATTAGTGAAGCCAGATGTCTGTAGTAACAATAGATTTATTGAAGGTGGAAAAGGCAATCGAGTCTTCTTCATAGAGTTATTAAGATAGTTAAGTGCAAAACCACTGACCCCAACACCATTATTCAACAATATTTAAATTTATCCTTATATCTTAATTCAGAATATGGTACACAGGCTTGCATCTAATCTATTGAATAACATTGCAGCAAGTGTTTGACCATGATACATTTTCGGCTGATGATATAATGGGAGAAGCGGAACTGGATATCCAACCCCTGATAACATCTGCCATGGCTTATGGAGACCCAGAAATGTTTGGAGATATGCAGATTGGAAAGTGGTTGAAGTCCCACGACAACGCCCTCATGGAAGACAGCATCATCAACATTGTTGATGGGAAGGTGAAACAGGATATGTGGCTCAAGCTCCAGAATGTTGAATCTGGAGAACTAGAACTAGAAGTAGAGTGGCTGGCCCTCGATCAATAGGTATATATTTGTCCATCCTTCCATCTGGACTGAATAAAAATCTGTAATTTTGGTTGTTACATAACATTCATTTTGAATGGCACTATAGACTTTTAACTTCGTTGTAATGTATCTATTAATTTGACATCAATTTATTAATTTTCTTTGAAATTTCATTCGATTAACAAACCCTATACATCTTCCCTTTACTGAATTTTTCTAATTTTGATCCGTGAGGCGGCAGTATAAGGTTGCCATGAGTGGGTTGAATGATCATCAAAGATCTAGCTCCTCAAGAACATGCTCTCAAAAGTCACCATGCTTTTTAACATAATTCGATGATACATTATTCTCGACAAACGCCACTCCTGTTAATTTGGATAAAAATAAGGCCAACGAGGTCAAACCAATCTTACATGGTATGCCTGCACATTCACATGCGTGTGTGTGCTCGTGCATAATCGTTGATCAAATACGAAGTATATATTTGAATTTCTTGTCCTCATGGCAACGGATATTTAGTAGAATTGGACTTTGTCTCGTTTTTCTGGGTTACCATGGTTGAATTTTATGGATTTGAAAATTCTCATTTCTTGGTGAAGAGGTAGCCGCCAGTATAATCATCTCAAAAGAATCAAATGCAGACCCTGAAGAAAAAACATGAAAAGTGCCAAGAAGAGACCCTACAAATAGGAAGGTTGTGTAAGAAATTCATCAAGGAAATTAAAGAGAGAAGAGCTTCAGTGCTTACAAGCGTTAAAAGAAGAATGGCAGAATTACAGCAGGAAAAGGGAACCCAGAAGGCCTTTGGGTGGGCAGCTAAAGACTCCTCAGGAATCCTTTCTCCTTTCCATTTTGAAAGAAGGTATTCATTCGATCAATACCAACTAAATCAAGTTCTACCTTTTGTACCAATTACACATAACATGTTATACGTGAGCGATCATAATTTTTCTTTATAATATTATGAGTGGGTGGTTTTATCTCTAAAAAAGTGAAGAACATGCACTTTACCAATTGAGTTACAAGTTCAAGTATTTTATGAATATAAAATTAAATTACCATAGTATATTCAATTGATAATTGTCTATCTTCAAACTTTTTCTACATGAACATGAAGTGCATAATTATCCTTATCTTATCTCCAAATGAAGCTTTAGGTTAACCGTTGAGGTTTTGGAAAATTAACCTCAGAATCCTTAGATCTTAATTTTAGTAAGTGTATGTTGTTTGCTGATTAATTTGATATCATCTTTTTCAGGTCTAATAAGGATAATGATGTCACAATAAAGATTCTCTACTGTGGCATTTGCCACACTGATCTAAGTTTGGCTAAGAATCACAATGGATTTACTCTCTACCCTCTTGTTCCAGGGTAAGTTCTTGCTTTATTCTTGGAATTTTTTTTTTGGTATAATGAGTCAAATTAACTTCTAACTTGAATTCCTTCGTCAAATAAATACAGGCATGAAATTGTGGGCATAGTGACTCAAGTTGGAACCAATGTCAAGAAATTCAAGGTAGGAGATAGAGCAGGGGTGGGCAGCATGATAGGATCTTGTGGCGACTGTGATAATTGCCAAGATGGGATGGAGAGTTATTGCCCCAAAATGATCAGTACAGTCACAATATTTGATGTGGATGGGATCAAGAGACAGGGTGGATTTTCTGATTTCATTGTCGTGGACCAACATTTTGCCATCCATATCCCGGCCAGCCTACCGTTAGATGGGGCAGCTCCATTGCTGTGTGCTGGAATTACTGTGTTCAGTCCAATGAAGTATTTTGGACTTGACAAGCCAGGGATGCATTTAGGGGTTGTTGGTCTTGGAGGATTAGGTCACTTGGCAGTCAAGTTTGCTAAGGCATTTGGCATGAGAGTAAGTGTTATTAGTACATCTCCAGCTAAGAAGAATGAAGCAATTCAAGTACTGAAAGCTAACACATTTGTTATTAGTCATGATTCCCAGCAGATGCAGGTAAGGATTTCTAGATCGATTTAATTTTTTTCAATGAGAAGTATAATACATGCATACACGCTATAGGTTATATTTGTGTCAGTTAATATAAAAATGCAAGTTGAAATTATTTGAGCTAACAGTTGTAAATTTGTGATTTTTCGTATGATAATTTTTGCATGGTGAAGGATGCCTCGGGCACATTGGATGGCATAATTGACACAGTCTCTTCGCCACATTCTGTCTCGCCATTTCTTAATCTCTTGAAAACTGGTGGGAAAATTATCTTGGTGGGTGCACCAGACCTTGAGAAACCAGTTGAAGTTCCTGTCTGGCCTTTGTTAGGTAAGATCACAAGACATATTGAGCTTTTGTTCATTCATTTTCCTTTCACTATCAACACTAATTCTTTCGAAACTAACAATACAGGAAGAAGGCAGATATCTGGGAGTATGGCAGGAGGAATAAAGGAGACACAAGAAATGATGGATTTTGCTGCAGAGCACAACATAACCGCAAATGTTGAAGTGGTCCCAATGGATTATGTCAACAATGCCATGGATAGGATTGAGAAAGGCGATGTCCGTTACCGGTTTGTAATTGACATAGGAAAAACCCTAACTATTGCTTAAGCCAATTTGCCATTGTCCTTGTTAGGAACATGGTTTTAGGAGCTTTTCTGTTCTTTGTTCCTTTTTCCTGGCTTCTTTAGTGCTTTGTGGGGTTTGATTGTTGTATATTTTGTATTTTGCTTTGGCTTTCTCTTTGTATTGTCTCTGTTCAGTGTTTGAATAAATTTTATTCCTCCTCAATTTCTTTTTCAAAAAGAGTTTCTAACAATCAGACAACAAGCCTCACAAGTCACACCTGCCCTGTTTTTGATACCACAATTGGTCAAAAGGCACCAATTCACTTTCGTCTTTATTCATATATACAAAGTAAATGTTTTAGCCAAATGTCTGGATTCTAATCGATGGAACATTGGTTTAATGAATGAAGTTATGACTCTATAAAATGTTCCTAAGAGGAAAAGACTGTAATTTCACCTCAGTTAAAATTTGTAGCTAGCTAGCTTTCAACCAAGGCACAGTGCCTGTTGTACTGCCTATGTCATAAACATTTTAATGAACAGACATGGACCTCCTGCAGCCAGGACACTGAATTGGAGGTAGTGCATCTAATCAGTGTATAAATAATTGGTACCGTTTTCTTTTCTGGTATTGAAGGGGGAATCTCTTATTTCTATCCACAAAATTTCACCAGAAAATCTCCAATCTGTTGCCATAACATTTCTGGAGAAAACCGTGACAGCAGCTGAATATCAAACAAACAGTGGTACTGGTAGGGACATATACATGGAAGCAAGGACACACCTTTTTTTTGGAAGAAACCTGGCCCCCTTTATTTGCTTTGCGGTCCATTGATTTCGTTACCTAATCTGATCTGATCTGATCCTACTAGCTGGCCAAAATGCAAAAATATTGAGCTGGATTTAGCTCTTATCCAGCCGACAAGCTTCATGATTAACTATAAAAAGCATACTTAGATGCTACAGGTAGGACAGGACATGCTTCATAAATTATGCATTATTTCAACGATAGGTAGGTATCTGGTTCTCATTTATCTAATCAAGAATTTTTTTACTGGTTTCCAGTTGGCCTAAATTCTTATTTGCAGGTATCTGATTCTCATTGCATTGTGTTTTGAGTATGTTTTATAGCATCATATCAGTATTTGTATGACTGAACTTAATTATGCTAACCTTTCCCATTAAGTTAATGCAAGATTTTGCACAATGTTTTCAATTCTTCCATCCTATTCAGTATTCAATATCCCTTCAATATTTTACTTGAATCAAATGAAAGACCCACATTTTACAAAATTATTCTCTGCCGTAAAAGTTGGTTGGTTATGTACAGCTTTTTCTAAAAAGGTGTTTTGATTTTTTTTTTTTTATAAAAAAAATCATTTTCAACCTTTTGAAGAGTAGCAGCTTAAGCTTCAAGTGTGTGACTTCTGAAATAGATATTTTACTGCTAGTCTTTGGAATTTAATACTGTATTTTTCTACTCCCTCCATCTGACAATGCACGTGGATTAAGGATTGCAACTATCATTATCATTGATTTATAGAATGAGTAATAATATATATCTAACTTTTTTGTTTAGTTTTTATGTATCAATACAAGTTAATAAAGAAGTAAATACATACTAAGATTTAGTAAAATAAAAAAATTAATTATTAAATAACACATAACATATATAAAAATATTATCTAAAAATCAATCAATTTAAGGTACACT